TGGTTTTGTTTGAAACAGCCAATTTATTCTCTCATGGTTCTGGAGGCTAGAAGTCTGAAATAAAGGTGCTAGCAGAATGTGTTGTTCTCCCTCCGAAAGCTGTTGGGTAGAATCATTCTGTGCCTCTGTAACTGGAAAAGCTTTGACATAGGCTTGTAAAATGCGTGTATGTATGTATCTATCTATTTTCAATAGTTTTATTGATTTGAAATTCACTTATCATATCCTTCCATAGTTAAGTTGCTTTTAAAAGGAATTATACATACATCATCACAATCCATTCCAGTGCACCCTCCCTCTTTCTGTATTAACCCTTTGCTCAATTCTCCTCAACCTTCCCCTCCATCCCCAATATCTTAATTACAACAGTCATTGTCACCATACAGCCATCCTTTCTATGCTTCATAAATTGGGAAACATAACAGAAACAACAAAACAGGGGAAAAAAGGAAGAAAGAAAAGACCAATAGCAATATTAATGAAAATAAACCAGAGTGAAATTTTCCGTCTTGGAACAAGCGAGAAATATTTAAACAAAGAGCAAATTCAGGATGGGTCCAGGAGGAGGTCCGCTGATCAGGTATCCTATGAGACCGTAGTTCCATCCACCATAATTTCTGTCTGATGTTAATGTTGTTCGAGTCTCTTGCCTGTGGTTAAAGAGCATCTGCAAGAGACTTGATCTGAATCGGTACTCTGCAGATGGATTTTGGGGTCTCACTGACTTCCATAGACTTCTACAAATTGGGCCTTCACATTTTAAGCCCTGATACCTTTCCCTTCATCGTATTTGGAATTTTATTTGACAGAGGCTTTTAGCAAGGAGAAAGACAGTTTTATTGTGAGAATGATTATGCAAGGAGATAAGAGAAAATATTTTCTCTAACTGCCTCGCCGAACAGGGAAGGGAATGGATTTTTATATGACTGTAAAGGGAGGTTGTCTGAGAAAGGAACATTGAAACCAAACTCCAGGCTCACTGGCCTTGTGTTGATGCTGATTCACAGTGACAGACACCATCAGGGCACTCAAAGGAACATTAAGAGTGTTGAACTTGGGGTGGGGGGCGGTCTTGACCAGCAGATCTCCTGTCTTCTCCCCAGGCTACTTTCTGCTTTGGAGGTCCAGGGCGTGCAACTGTCAGTGACAGTGCAATGATTTATCTTCCTTCCCCTTGCAACTTAAAAGAGCGAGTTTGGGTCGTTATTCTTTGACAAACATTCCAATTCTCTTACCTGAAATCCCAAGCTAGTCACTTATTTCAATTTTTATTGCTAAAAAATTCTAGGACAGAGCATACTAAAATTATGAATTCAAATAAGTGTAAATTTGTAAGAATTCTTACCCCTCAATTCACGCTTCATCAGTTCCATCTCTTCCAGTTTCTGGTGGCCCCAGGTGTTTCTTTACATGGCCTTCATCCTATGTGTGTATCTTGTCCATGTCTCTATCAAAATTTCTCTCTCCCTTCCCTTATAAAGAGACACTAGCCATTGGGTTTAGGACACACGCTATTCTAGTATCTTTAAAAAAAATCATTTTATTGGGGCTCATACAATTCATCACAATACATAGATCAATCCATCCCTTTTCCCCCTATTTTGACACTAGTTGTCCCTTCTACTGCCCACTACTACTGTGGCTGGGTTCAATAATTCACTGCAATGGCTACATAGAACTCACAACTGATACGATTATGTGGTTGATTAGGGAAAATAACAGGTTACAGTTCAGGTGAAATATGCCCAGGATACAGTTGATCAGTCAGGACAGTGTCTTCTTGTGTGGGTACCAGCCTCCACCATAGAACAGGTCCACGGTGGGGTTTGATCAAGAGGAAGTACAGAGAGCCGAATGAAGGTTGAACATGATAGTGGGACAGGTGGAAAGTAAAAGGAAATAGAGGAAAGTACTAGGAGGCAAAAGGTATTTATAGAGGTATAAACATAGGCATGTACATATTGAAACATATTAATATACAACGATAGGGATATAGGTCTATGTACATATATTTATAGGTTAAGAATTAAGGTATCAGATGGACATTGGGCTTCTACTCAAGTCCTTCCTCAAGGCAAGAACACTTTGTTCTAATCAGGCATTCTGTGATACTCACCTTCCTGACAGGATTGCTGAAGACAAAGTGGTTGCGTAAGCAAATGTGGTGAAGAAAGCTGATGATGCCCAGCTATCAAAAGATACAGTGTCTGGGGTCTTAAACGCTTGAAGTTAAACAAGCAGTCATCTATCAGGGAAGCAACCAAACCCACGTGGAAGAAACGTACCAGCCTGTGTGATCATGAGGTGTCCATGGATCAGGTATCAGGCATGAGAAGACCCAAAACAAACAACCATTTCGATGCAAATGAGGGGGATCGGAATGGAGACCCAAAGGCCATCTGTAGACTATTGGACATCCCTTCACAGAAGGGTCACAAGGAAGGGATGAGCCAGCCAGGGTGCAGTACAGCACTGATGAAACACACAACATTCCTCTAGTTCTTTAATGCTTCCTCCCCCCGCCCATCATGACTCTAGTTCTATCTTACAAATCCAGCTAGACTGGAGAATGTACACTGGTACAGATAAGAGCTCTCAACACACAGAATCCAGGACAGATTAACCCCTCAGGAACAATAATGAGAATAGCAATACCATGATGGTAGGGGGAAGGTGGGAATGTGTGAAAGTGGGAGAAAGGGGGAACCCATCGCAATGATAGATGTATAACACCTCCGCAATTGGGATGAACCACAGAAACATGGGAGGAGACAGTGGACAGTTTAAGATATGAACATAAAAATAACTTATAATTTATCAAGGGTTCATGAGGGTGGGGGGGGAGGGAAAAAGAGGAGCTGATACCAAGGGCTCAAGTAGAAAGAAAATGTTTTGAAAATGATGGCAACATATGTACAGATGTGCTTGATACAATTGATGTATGGATTCTTATAAGAACTGTAAGACACCCCCCCCACCGATAAATTGATTTATTAAAGAACATAAAAGAAAGTTACAGCCTGGAAGACCTATTGGCCAATTCTACTCTTTCTTATAGCATCTCAATGAGTTGGAATTGACCTGATGGCAGTCTGCTTATTTAATATCAATGAGACCATAAAAGATTTTTTGGTATGAGTGATTCAATAGATTTTATGAAATATGTTTTCAGTATATATACTGCTCAATATATTTTCAGGTTTCATCCATGTTGTGGCATGCATCAGGTCTTCTTTCCTTTTTGTTGCTGAGTAGTACTCCATTGCGTGTGTACACCACATGGTATCTATCCATTCATCTATTAATGAACATTTTGAACTGTTGGCCTTCGCTTTAGTAGCCAATGGCTTAACCCACTGCCCCACCAGGCCCCTTCCCATTAATGAACATTTTAGTGTTTCCCACATTTTGGTTATCATGAAAGATGTTGTAATGGACATTGGTGTATAGGTTTCTGTTTGTGTCCTGCTTTCCCTTCTTCTGAGTATACAAGTATACTTAGGATTGGGGCTGTGTTTTCAGATGGCAGTTCTGTAGTAAATATTTTGAGGTAACGATTTTCCACAATGACTATACCATTGTGTATAGTCCATTCTCACCAGGAATGGACAAGGGCACCAGTTTCCCCATAACTTTACCAACACTTCCCTTTTTTTTTTTTTACTTCTTTGTTGTTTCTATTTTGTTTAAATCATTTTATAGGGCGCTCATACAACTCTTATCACAATCCATACATATATCCATTGTGGCACATTTGTTGCCATCATCATTCTCAAAACATTTGCTTTACGCTTGAGCCCTTGGTATCACCTCCTCATTTTCCCCCCTCCCTCTCTCTCCCCCCTCCCTCATGAACCCTTGAAAATTTATAAATAATTATTTTGTCATATCTTACACTGTCCGACGTCTCCCTTCACCCACTTTTCTGTTGTCCGTCCCCCAGGGAGGAGGTTATATGTAGATCCTTGTAATCAGTTCCTCCTTTCCACCCCACCCTCCTTATATTGCCACTCCCAGCACTGGTCCTAAAGGGTTCATCTGTCCTGGATTCCCTGTGTTTTCAGTTCCTATCTGCACCACTGTACATCCTCTGGTCTAGCCAGACTTGTAAGGTACAATTAGGGATCATGATAGTGGGCGGGGGTGGGGGAGGGAGCATTTAGGAACTAGAGGAAAGTTGTATGTTTCATCCTTGCTACACTGCACCCTGACTGGGTCATCTCCTCCCTGTGACCCTTCTGTAAGGGGATTTCCAGTTGCCTACAGATGGGCTTTGGGTCCCCAATCTGCACTTCCCCTCATTCACAATGATTTGATTTTTTGTTCTTTGAATCCTGATACCTGATCCCTTCGACATCCCAGGATCACACAGGCTGGTGTGCTTCTTCCATATGGGCTTTGTTGCTTCTAAGCTAGATGGCCGCTTGTTTAACTTCAAGGCTTTAAGACCCCAGACGCTATATCTTTTGATAGCCGGGCACCATCAGCTTTCTTCACCACATGTGCTTATGTACCCATTTGTCTTCAGTGATCGTATTGAATTGGTGAGCACACAATGATATGATTTCTTGTTCTTTGATGCCTGGTAACTGATCCCTTCAGCACCTTGTGATCACACAGGCTTCACCAACACTTCTTTCTGTTTTTTTGGGGGGCGGGAGGGTTGTTTTTCAGTCATTGCTTTTCTAGAAGTGGAGAAGTCGTATCTCATTGTGGCTTCTTTGCATTTCCCCAATAGCTAATCTTGAGGGGATTTTTTCTTTCAGGTACTTGTTGGTCATTTGTATATCATCTTTAGTGAAATGTCTATTTAAATTCCTTGACCTTTTGTTTGCTTATTTTTGTTGTTGTTAATCTTTTAATAACTAGGGAAAGTCTTTCCTGAATTCTGTCTACTTTAAAGTATCTAGTTCAGTGCACTGTACATTGGTGACCCCAGAAAATGTTTGTTTATAGAACAAGTTTGAATGTCTCTGACCATGTGGACACTGTCTTTCCAGGTTTTTTGGTGTCTTTGTGGAGGCCCTGGAAAAGATCCCCTTGTGAAGGCTACAACTCCACTTGAGTCCACAGACCCCCACGGGCCTTTGGGCTTCTGGGAAGAGTGGCATTGGCAGCAAGAGAGGTCCAGCGTGAACATGCCAGCTAACAGACATTCAACCCGGAGATCACTGGCCCAGTCTGCAGGGAGACATGGCAACTCCTGTGAGGTGAGGAGCCCAGGGGCAGGAACTCATGCAGCACTTCAAAGCCTGAATGAAAGATAGCATTTCATTGTTTTAATTTGTAGTACTTGGTGTACCAGGCAGGATCATTTTACCCCCACATTTTTATTGAGCTCTATTGCTTGATTTATTTATCTTTTATTTCTTAGCTTATATATTTTTAGGAATTTTTAAATATTAAGGTTAATAACCCTTTTAATTCTTATGTTCTTATGAATTTTTTTGCCACATTATAATTTACAAATAGATTTGTTTTATCTACAAGTGGTAAGAGGTGGCAAATAGATCTCCAGTTTTGCTACCAAAACAACAACAACAACAAAGACGTTTCTCTGCATTGTTCCCTACCGCTACCTACCTCTACTTTCATCCTGGAAATCAGCTCCTCTTAGTGTTCTTCCCTTTAATGACTATAGGTTGTTAGTCCTGTATCCTTGGAATTTAAGCACATAAACATTTGTGTCACCTGGGGCCGAGACTTTCTGACATTAGACCTACTTGAGGAAAATTTGCAGTGTTGGAAGCCCACAGGGGCAGTTCTACCCTATCCAATAGGGTCGCTATGAGTCAGAATCCACTCAGTGGTGCTGAGTTGTGTTTTGAGAATCTCTTAATAACTTTTAATCTTTTAAACAATATTACTCCACTTTGAGCATACCTACTGACTCTCTGCTAGGGCAGATGAAATCTGTTGTATATAACTTCCAGGGGAGAGGGAGATCCTAGATTGTATTATAGAGCTTTGGGAATCCACTTTCATAGTTCCAGGGACACTTTACTTGGTGAGCTGGCCCCCGAAATTTTCCAGGGCTTTCCAACCACCTCTGATGGCCTTTGAGAGAAGCATTCTGACTTTTAAACCAAGAGAATATCATCTTAATAATGAATACTTTTGACATCTTCAGGTAGAATCATGTATGCTAAAATGTGACACACTCATTGGTCTTCAACAATAACATAGTCTGATTATCCCAGGGGGAGTCTTACAAGTGCATATCAGAGGCCTTGCCACATGAGTGTGATTGATGTCAAGAACGGTGAAGGGTCTAAGAGTTTGACCCCACTTCTGAAGGAACAGTTTGGCTTGCCACACTTTTCATGTATGGTGAGAGGAGACATGAGACTCCGGGTCCATAATGAAAGACTTTATTACATACAAGAAAAGCAGTAGCCAAAGTCAGTTTGTTTGCATATTGAGAAATATTTTTAAATACTCCCCACCCACCCCTGTTTTTTTTTGTAATCCAAGTGGGTTTTTATGAAGGACAGGAGCAGTTTCAGGTTTAACAGTCTCAAAAGGGGACATGCTATTTCAAGGGAGCATGTCAAACCACGCCATGCGGAAGCCGCGCTGGGTTCACAACTGACCACGGGCAACCTCGTGGAAACCAGCGCACCACACTTGCACAACTGAGGCCAGAGAGACCAGTGCCCAGCACCAGTGGTGCTGGGTCAGGGTAAAAAGAGTATAAGTGAGACGAGACAGAGGCTGTGGGCCCCGAATAGGCCTGGAGCGGGCGCATGCGCGTCCCAAGCAGGCCTGGAGCAGGCGCTGAGGGGGCCTGCCCAGGTGCCTCCTACCTCCACCTGCCTCTGACCAGGTGCAGGGTAAAAGAGAACGACCTTCCGGCAGCCAGGTTATTTAAGGCCTCTGGCTGGGGAGGCGTGGTTGATGGTATTGATTGATCCCATTGACTGAATTAAGCCCACCTGGGTCTAGTTTTGGACACTCAGGTGTACCAGCCACCTTGAATGGGGCCTAAATTGGAGCATGCCCAATTTGGGAGTCTTCATGGGTGTTTAATGCTCGCCTGATTTCCTTCCCAGCCTCCTCTTTGGGGCTTCTGCAGGCATGGGAGCGACAACCTCCATCCCTGTCTCTAGCTACCTAACATTTCTCCACTGAAGGAGTATGGCCCCAATCTTTGGGCGGCGACGTCTCTGGCTGCTTCCTGCTGGCAAAGGGGACACAGTGTGGGGCTTTGGAGTCCATACCCATCCTACTCTGTTGGAAGGGGTGGTCCACTTGGGGCCCACGATGGGTGAGGTTGGGGAGGGAAGGACAGAGTAGACAGCACTAAGAGGAAATGTATTGGCCCACCACCCAACATCCATGCACAATCAGGCTTCCAGACCAGGAACAGCATGCCTTTGCTGCTGGGGCTGTCCGGCTGCCCTACTTTGTCCAGGTAGCAGGTGTAGACTTGCCAGCAGATCACTCTTCTCTTGAGATTCCCCCTAGGGTAGAGTGCTGCCAGTGGCCAGTTTGATTACAATGATAGTATGGCCCTCTGGAAGGCCTTAAAACCCCTTTGTAACTTGGAAAATCTTCTCTACAAGTGTAAAATAGAAAGAAAACAGTTTTATTATGGAAAATGCATTAAACTGTGGTACAAAGCCCAGAAAATTTGTTAATGAGATTGCACAGACTAGACGATATCTCCCCTGAAGATAAACAAGCGGCAGTCTAGCTCAGAAGCAACAAAGCCCACATGGAAGAAGCACACCAGCCTGTGTGATCATGAGGTGTCAAAGGGATCAGGGATCAGGCATCAAAGAGCAAAAAAATAATATCATTGTGAATGAGAGGGAGTGCGGAGTAGGGACCCAAAGCCATCTGTAGGCAACTGGACATCCCCTTTCAGAAGGGTCGCAGGGAGGAGACAAGTCTTGTTAGGGTGCAGTGGAGCGAGGATAAAACATACAACTTTCCTCTAGTTCCTAAATGCTCCCCCCCCCCCCACCGCGACTATCATGATCCCAGTTCTACCTTACAAATCTGGCTAGACCAGAGGATGTACACTGGTACAGATAGGAACTGGAAACATAGGGAATCCAGGACAGATAATACCAGTGCTGTGAGTGGTTATACCAGGAGGGTGGAGGGTGGGTGGGTGGAAAGGGGGAACTGATTACAGAGATCTACATATGGCCTCCTCCCTGGGGGATGAGCAACATGAAAGTAGGTGAAGGGAGATGTCGGACAGTGTAAGATATGACAAAAATAATAATTTATAAATTATCAAGGGTTCAAGAGGAAGGGGGGAGTGGGGAGGGAGGGGATAAAAATGAGGAGCTGATGCCAGGGGCTTAAGTGGAGAGCAAGTGTTTTGAGAATGATGAGGGCAATGAATGTACAAATGTGCTTTACACAGTTGATAGATTGTGGATTGTGGATTATGGATTGTGATAAGCGTTCTATGAGCCCCCAATAAAATGATTTTTAAAAAGAAGATATATTCTTCTTTTAAATGATTTAAAAAAAGAAGAAGAAGACATCTCACCCTTTGGATATGGCCAAGCAGATGCAATCTATTGCATACCTATTCTCAAGATAAAGTAATAACTTGACAGCACCTTTTGCTGTCCTATGTGGTCCATGTAAAAGTCACTTGTTAACTGCAGTGACCATCTGTGTGAATTAGTCACCTTTGTGTTGCTTTTGTTGTTAGCTGTCATGGATTTGGCCCAGGCTCATGGTGAACTCAAGTACAATGGAAGGAAGTATTGGACCTTTGGGATCCAATGGGCTTTCCCCACTCCCACTACCATGACTCGAATTCTACCTTGCAAGTCTGGCTAGACCAGAGGATGTACACTGGTACAGATAGGAACTGAAAATACAGGGAATCCAGGGTGGATGATCCCTTCAGGACCAGTGGTGTGAGTGGCGATACTGGGAGGGTAGAGGGAGAGTGGGTAGGAAAGAGGGAACCGATTATAAGGAACTATATGTGACCTCCTCCCTGGGGGATGGACAACCAAAAAGTGGGTGAAGGGAGACGTCGGGCAGGGCAAGATATGACAAAATAACAATTTATAAACTATCAAGGGCTCATGAGGGAGGTGGGAGTGGGAAGGGAGGGGAAAAATGAGGACCTAATGCTGGGGGTTTAAGTGGAGAGGAAATGGTTTGAGAATGATGAGGGCAATGAATGTACAAATGTGATTTACACAATTGATGTGTGTATGGATTGTGATAAGAGTTGTCTGAGCCCCTAATAAATTGACTAAAAAAGAAAAAAATTAAAAAAAGAAAAAAGAAGAAGAAGAAAGGAAAAAGACCAGGCCTTTCTTCTTGGTTGTCATAGGTCTGGAAGCTCTGCTAAAAGCTGGTCAGCATCCGAGCAGTACAGATCTCCAGTGACAAGTTGGGGGGGGGGGTGTTAGCGCTGGAAGAGTTTTCCCTGGTGGGAAACCTAACTGGGTTTCTCACAAGGAAGGTGAGGATTCTGTCATTGAGCCATCATTGCCCCATTAATGATCTTTATCCCATGGCAAAAGACAACTTCTCACACCTCTATGATAGCATGGAACAAGATGCCTGGGTTAAACTCTTAGAAAGAGGTGCTATCTTCCTTAATGGTTACATGTTTAAAAGCCCCCAGTACCTTAAAAAAATGTCCCCGAGTTGTTTTGCTGGAAAAAGGCTTTATTTAGCTTTTAAAAGTATTTTCATATTTATCAAGGGAACCGAAGAAGGTTTCACAAATAAGTTTTCTCAAGAAACTGATCTAAGAAAAGTGAAGGGGGAAACAGTTCTCTTTCCCTTTCAGTAACAGTGAAAAAAATTTTCCCTCTCGTTTAATCCTTACAAGTTCCCCCCTTTTTAGAACAGCACTATAATTTTCTAATGAACTTGATTGCTATTTCTTTCTTTCTCAGAACAGGTTCCAACGTTTTAAATATCTAGCAAGTCTCATAGCTAAGTAGAAAGTTCAGTAAGTCTCTGAATTCCAGTTGAGTGGGTTTAGAAATTCAGTACGCCAGGACTCAACTGTTAGCCAAATGACAGGACAATAAGGTGAAGAACAGCACCAGGGAGTTCTGGCCTCATTAGGACAATCACCCACACCAGAGCAAAAGGGCAGCGTTTGCCCAGCAATAAAGCTCAAAGGCAGGAAGGAGTGGGGAAAAAGGACAAAGGGGACTGGTAAACTCAGGGGGGAAGTGGGAAGAGTGCTGTTACATCGTGGAGATTGTAG